GAAACAATCTGTTCAGAATCCTGTAGGGTATCATCGAAGTACTAAATCCATTTTTCTTTCACGATTTCGTAAACAATTAATTGAATGACGGGAGGAGAAACTAATTGATCGTCGTCGACGAAGTGATCTTACGTCCATTCCTTTCAGAAAACGGTCCTTACGTGAAAGCTAGCAATTGAAGAGACACTGTCAGGAGGATGCAAGTGGTGGGTGGTAGAATCGTGGACGTCATCGAGGATTCATCGTCGCCGTCGAAGTACGGATCCAACGTGGAACCCGGTTCCCGTAAAGAACCTTGGTAAACGTGATTCAGTCTGTGGTCGCGATCGCTGATCGCTTCGTTCGTGTCGTCGTCCCCCCTTCGATCGCCAAACTTCTTCGAATGCTTTGGTAGATCCATGTCTGCGCCAAGAAAATCATTTTTATTTGAATTAATTGCACCAGTTCAGATTTAAATGGAATAATTCGTCTGATGGTTATTGAAAATGATTTGTGTCACATCAGCTTTCAGATTTCACGCATAGTAGCCATTGACGGGATAGGGAATCGTTCTGGACGATTTTTTTTTTTAATTAAACAGAATAGTTTAGATTTCAATGTTAACCGTTTGCCTCACAGTTATTGGAACGATTTAAGTGACATCAGAGGTGATTTTTTTGCATGCATAACTCGGTTGTGGGCGAGGATAGAAGGAATTGTTGTAGAGTGTAGCGTTTTCACGCTCGACGTCACAGTAGATAGAGGAGGCGGTATCGGCGGAAAAAGAGAGGCGAGGTAGCAAGAATTCCTCTCTTTGACGAGGAATTCCTATAGCGGATTCAATTTATACACGTATCGACATGTAGGTACGTTACCAACACTAATCCCCATCCGGGCATCCGCCGGTGCAACTGCTTACAGGCGATATTAAATTTGTGCTGCGGTTTCATAAAAATACTTCAGTTTTTACATTACAGCCCGCCAACTCCTCCCTTTAGCTCGCCTGTAACTTGTTATATTAAAAATTTCTTTACGATTCCGCTAACCCGTTCTGTTCAAGAATTCTGGCAATATTTTTAGAAATTAATTAGATTTGTTATTAGCGAGCTGCGAATTTCATGCGTTTAGTGAAATTTCCATTGGAATCGCATTTTTCATATGGATACCACGGACGCTTGGGGGAGAATCCGCGATCAAACAATTCAGAGATCTAATAAAGTAATTTTTTGAAAGATCTGTTAGGAGCAATTTTTATTAAGTTACCAGATGAAATGGAGGGACGGTTCGGTAAAAAACAAAAGGGAGGGAACGAAGTGTAATCTTCCATCGCGATAACGCAAGGGCCATGTGTTGCAAAATTGACACTCGAGAAATTGGAAAAGGCGAAATGGGTAGCATCGCTGCTTCCGCCGCACTCTCTTTCGATATTGTTCTCGAAAATTATTATATCCACCGAGTAATTTACCAAAAAATTACGGAGGAGGAAACAAACAGGTTCAGAGCAAACGCGTACTAAAAATCAGCATTTATCCCAAAGTAAATTGTAATCACGTTTAAATAATTAGAGTCTGTTTAAGGTATTGTATATTCTTAAAAAAATGATAAGAGCAAGTAATAAGAGTTTCCCTACATTTTGTAAAAAAACTGGAAGTCATTTTTGCGGTCCGGGGGTCGAGAAATTCTGTCGATAAAAACCTGATCGAGCGAGTAACGAGCAATTTGCAGGCCGGATTCAATTTATTGCATATACACCTCCGCGGGCGGGCAGATGTCGGGCAAAAGAAATCGCGATAGGTGGCTCGACAAAGGGTCACGAGGAAACGAGACACTGGCAGAAGACGGCGTTGTAGGGCGACGGGATACGGAGGGAGGGGGTGAAACGTGCGCCGGCTCGTCGAAATAGCAGTTTAGCACTGATAGCACTTGGCGGACTTTTATCGATCATGTCTGGCAACAGATGGCTCACCCAATTCCCGGCGGCGCGTTTTGTCTGGCTGGCCTGATAAACGATAACTAATACGGAACAGAAGAAGCGGCAGCGAGAGAAAAGGGGAAGAGAGAGATGTGCAGCGTTGGGGTAGGTATAGGACAGGCGCGGCGGCGGTGGTGCCGCTGGTTGGATATTGTTTCGCGGACTTTTAGCCCTTGACGTGACGTGCCAACATCTCGCCACTGTCGTCCCACCCTCCGCGTTGCTTGCTGCTCTACCCTACCCCTTATTCCTGCTCGTTTTCTCTTGTTTCCACCCTCGATCGTGTCCGCTACAGGGTGTGCCTCCGAGACCGCATCTTTAATCTTACAGCTATCACGTTTCCGAGTGTATGCACGTACTTTCTACTGTGAATATTCGCCTCTCGTTTATGAATCTCATTATATTTCTTGAATGGGGCATGTCCATTTCTTTAGTCAATTATACTTGAGTATTGTTATTTTTCAATGGAATCAGAGCTTCATTTATTTTGTACAAAAATTTAGTGACAAATAAAGTGAGATATATTTTAAGACTTTCATTCAAGATATTCAAGACAATCATAAATATGTCAAAACGTGCAACGTCCCACTTTAAACCTCTTAACTATTTTAACTCGTGGCAAAGAAATTTGGCAAGACTGTTCAGACACGATTGAAAACTGCCACCCGTTACACATTTCCCGGCTCTTTTCTCTCCTCGGCGTTCTCTTCACGCTCCGTTTATACCATCGGTTTAACGGTTAATCCCCCGAGCTTATCTGATCGCGTGACTTCAACGAGAAGTTCGAGCACGCCGCGAGCCGGGACACACAGGCAGCCCTCGCGCACACAAACGATCAACCAGCCCCGTGGACACGCTATAATACACGGCTCGATGCGGTGTCTGTTAGTTTACACGGCTTACGCGATAAAATTTCCGTCATTAGCGCGCGAGGGCGTAGCCTCGGCTCGCGCGCTGATAATGGACTACGTGTTACGGTGATTTCCTCGTAAATACTTAAAGCTCGGTTTTGCTCCATTTGTTACGTCTACCCGGATCTATTGACGTCGTCCGCTTCGCCTGCGAATCGATCCCTGTTTTCTTTTATTTTTTTCCTTTTACTATATCTATCGCACGAATCTGTATACTTGAATAAAATTGTTTGTGCCATCTATTTTAAGAAATTCAACAATTTTATAATCATTGCTGTTGAATTTATTCCGTCCTCAGTGATCTTTGCATTTTACTACATGAAAAATTTAACTACTGGCTTCTGCAGTTACTTACTTGATTTGCAAAAATGTAAGATTCAGTGTTTAAACGTGAAGCGAGACGTTTTAGAGAATTTGTGTGTCAGACTGAGAGTTTCAAGAACACATGGGACCGCGGTATGTAAGTACGATTATCTCCTAGTAGGAATTCGTTTCATAATTTTCTCCCCGAGGATTTACATCACGAAGTTTGCGATATACAAGCACAGGACGAGCGCGAGCGTCGTAATAAATTCGATCACTTTAAAGTTGCAGTTTCGTTACGCCAGTACGTACTTGTCCCCGAAACTTTTATAACAAAATTTATGTTGCTAAATACGAGTGCGTATATGGAATCGAACACGAAATTTATTTTTCAGGCGTGATCCATTAAACGAAAAATCATTAACGATTTTTATCGGTAATTGCTCGTTTTGTAATTGATTTAATATTTCTGATTGGTTTAGAGACGTCATTTATTATGTTTATCGTTTTATTTTTAAATTTATTTAATTTTGGTCAATATTTTTTAAAACTATAGTTACATGTCATGTGGGATATTTAAAAGTTTTCTATGGAAACGAGTTCGTATTCGGAGAATTAAATTGGAGCAGACGATAACCATCAGTTTCGCAAAAATAAACTTGGCCAATTCCGGGCTCGATATCGGGGATATTACACTCAAATTAATAATCAATGCTAATTGCCATTGTCATTAGGTGAACGGCCATTATACGTTGGGAATAACTATGCCGTATACACTTTGTCTGCGTAGCAAATTTTACTAACATAAGTCGAACAAAATTTATCTCTCTCCTCGACAATATTACGCGGTTTACCTCAAGAAATTATTTTATCATATCAATAACATCAACGACTATTTCAATTATTTCCTGGCAGGATTTATTTTTGATTCGTACGTTTTAAAGAAACGGAATTATTGCATGACAAAAAATTTGTTGGTTGGTATTTCTTATCCTGTATGACAAATTCTCGTGGCAAGCAAAGTAGAAAAATACGGGATAAGGGAAAACAGTAATGGAAGTCTCGAAAGTTTAAAGCCGAGACTTTGCGATCCTTATAAATGCATTATCCGTGAAAACTCACCGTAAAGTCGAATGTTCCCCTCGGCGTCCCCGATCGAGTTCTTCGAGATGCACTTGTAACCGCCGAGATCCTGTTTCTGGAAATTCATGATCACCAGCCGCATCTGGACGCCGTAAACGGAAGTCTTCACCTCGGACATCTGATACTTCTGGTTGCTAATTATCATCTCGCCTGTAACATAAAACGTTCACCTCTTTAGAAGCTAGGGAGGACTCATCAGATTCTAAATTGGATTGCAGTCTAGACGAATTAAGGTACAGAGATTCTTTTATTAGTTTGTATATAGTTCTTTGCTTGGTCTCCAAAGAATGAACTTGGTAATTATACAAACTCAGATCTCACCGCATGCAGGTGACCACGAGAGAAGAGAAAAAATAGAAAGAGAAAACATAACATTGAATGACGGCTACTA